TGAACATGCTGTCTGACATTTCTCTAGAATTTTCAAACCAATAAAGACAGTATCCTGGCTGCAGAAAACTCAAACTCTTTAATTGTATATGGCCAGAGAACATTTACCTGAACTTTAATTTAAGTATTGCACAAAAAGGTTTTCTTACATTTGATGGCATCCAATATGACTGGGTTTAAAGCAGCTTTTCCTCCAATTCCATAAGGTGTCGATTTGATCAAAACATCAAGTCCAAAGAGCTTCTCTGCCAGGCGCAGGGCATAGAACTTTGGCCGACGCTTGGACTTTTCCAACGCATCTTCCAACTCATACTTTGTGAGCAGCACATGTGGATTGTGACCAACTGATACTGCAAGATAATGACATCACTGATAATTACTTGTATATTAATACCAGGTAATCATGATAATTTTCCATACCAAATCAAATCAGGCAGTTTTTATCCAAGTTCTTGATGCTGAAAATATTTCAGTTTTTGGTGTTCACTTACTGACTTCAGGACAGGTCAGACATAATTACAATTATGTTAATGTCAGTATTTCTCCAAGTTTTTAAGGATATAGAACTCTTCTATCACAAATTAAATGTAAATTCCTCTAAGCAATTATTTATAACATTGTCATTTATATGTTCCCTAAAAATTGAGTTGGAATACATAACTGAATTTTAACAATTTTCTTCAGAAGTCTGTGATTCTCAAGCAACTCATTGTTGCCCAAATTGCTGGAAAATGTCTTGCTCACAAAGAGGAATCTTCTGCCACCAAATTGGATTAGACTGTTGCACTGGCTTCATCCAATCTGTCAGTTCATCCTGTTAAAGCTTTCAAACTTCGAACTTAATGGGAACTTCTCATCCCTCCTGTAAGATGAGTCTATTTCCTTACCAAGTTGTAACAGGTCTCCTCTGGAAGAATCCTGGTTGTTCTTTTGATAATCAGCAACTATGGCATTGAGACACGCCTGCCACTGAGTTTGATTCTCCTGGTTGGGATGCTCTAAGACATAGTTATTGATAAGCATGGCTGAAAAGAACACATCCAAAATGAATCAATCATTAGCAGGAGCATTGTACAATATAGAACATATATTTTCAACACTCCTTATACTGTTAACTGCCCCTTGTAGGCCCTGGGCTTGTACAACTTTGCAAGGGGTTTTGGATGGAGGCTTATTTCTTGAAGAGGAGGGGGGGTGGCCTATAGGCGGAATTTAAAAAAATGAGCTACAACAGTGTTGATCAAAATATGTTTTTCATATATTGGTTTTTAATTAAGCTTTAGAACATCACAATAAATTAAATTCATTTCATTTTAAACTAGAGAGGGGCTTATAATCAGAAGTAATATTTTGTTTACACATAGATGGGCCCCTGACTGTGTGGAGGAGGGCTTTGGTATGTCATACAGCTGTAGTATTTTTAATCTTAATGTGGTCTTCTTCCTTTCAGACCACAAGGTCTTTCCTTAGCCAATTCTCTGTCATTTTCACTTGCTATATGGGGGGACACTTATTTCAGATGTAGCACCCGCCCTTCGGTATGAAACGGGGTGCGAAAATGCAGTAGTACGAGTCATATGTCTAACAATCCAATCTGTTTATTCAGCAACGATGTTGTGATGACTTAGGCTTACAAATCATCCGGGTTCAGGACTGTCAAAGACTGTAATAAACCATACTCATAAGTGGCTTTGGGTGAAGTGGCTTCGGCTGAAGTGGCTTCGGGTGAAGCTAAAACTAGACCAGGTAGTGAAGCTACAAAAACACTAGGTAGCGTTTCAAGACGTTCACCTTCACACGAGGAGAAGTCAACTAAACGTCCCGTATCTAAACTAAAGCATGACGAGATGCGTCACACAATCAAAACGGCTGAGAAGGC